GATTGAAGACATTTTAGCAGCAAAAGTAAAAATGAAAGCAATCGTTAAACTATACAAAATATTAGTAAATAAAAATTATATATTAAGACACTTCAAATAAAATTATTACAATCAGCCATCGGGGCTTGTCTTACAAACACGTAACATAGCAAATTTACGCTCAGCAGTTCACGTTTTATTCCGTTGGATTAAAAACTAGATAATAAATATTTAAATAATATTATTTAATATGTACATTAAATATTTGTTTATAATTTGAAATTTACATTATTTTATAGTGGTAAAAAAAAAAAGAGGCGAGATTATTATCTCATCAAAACGTATGATGTCCTGTTCGTTACAGATCAAAAGTTTTTGATTTATAAAAAAAACTAATGAAGACGAAGACATAATGTAATTTTCGATATGGTTATTATAATTTGCAATCTGTATTATTGATTTAATTATTTTAATCAGGTACGTTGTACCATACGAAGAGTTATACGATCGTATTAAGGATTTTCATGTTACCTATTGATGTAATTAATTAAAATTTATTTTTAAATTATAATTTAAAATAGTGCGGTGCGATACGTACCAGTCACAATGTTATTATTTCGATTTCACGAAAAGTTGCCTATTGATGTAATTACTTCGAAATATTACACAAAGTGTAAAAATAAGAGTTTCCATTTTCATGTAATGGATAAAATGTATGTCCGTTTCGTGAACTAAAATTTGACTTACACGTTGTGATCGTAGTTCATGAAATGAACATTCATTTCGCGAAAAATACGATTACACAAAGTGGATACGACATACATGTATATCGTTGACAAGGCAACATTATTAACCGAACTCCGTTCAAAAATCGTTTTTCGCTAGCGATGGTTAATCGTTACGTTCAGACATACATTGAATTTCCCCTCTACCTTCCCACGTTCACACGTACATCGGTGGCCTGTCCACGCGCTAAGTATGTCAATCTTCTTTGCAAATTTTCCTCGTGGTTTTCAATCGCCCTACTCAATCATTTTTCTGTTCCGATTTCATGTTTACACAGGAAATACCCTAATTACAGACTCGCGAGAGCAAGTGACTTGGTTAAAAAAAAAAATGTGTGTACATAATCAGAACTGTTGTCGGGGACGTGCCTTTAGAATGTTTGAACTACCGATCCCCGACTCCGCCGTCTGCGCGCAATACTACCGAAAATCTCGAGAACTGTATTATACTTTAACCCAATTTGATAAATCCGTTTTTGTTTTTTTTTTTTTTTTTTCAATTCCTTAATGAGCATATTATAATATTGCAGTCTTGCAAACATGCCGACATTCGTACGTGTATCCGTACCGCGTCTTCACTATGCCCCGATCGCAACGCCTAAGTTTCATATTTTTCGATGTGCGAGTTTGTACGATGCGTGCGACGGTCAAATTATTCATACATGGCATCGCGCGTACATCACATAATATACGTGGTATAAATCACGAATTTCACAGCATTACAAGCGCTGTGTGTTTCGACTCCGCCGTGGCCATCGACGTTTATTTATTTATTATTACTAGGTTTTGTAATATAGAACGGACAATAGCCCGAACAGTCGCATTTACATAAATAAATTAAAGAAATAAAACACATGTCGAATTATTTCGGCGTACAATATAATAATTCGTTATTTTATTAGAACGATAGTAATTTTAATTTAATATGGTATTGGCGGCCGACAGGCTTTTGAGAATACAAGCACGTAACACTATTATCTATACTAATAATATTATTAAGAGAAAAGATTTGTTTGCAATGGATAAGCTCAAAATTACTTGACCGAATTTAAAACTTCTTTCACCTATAAAAAGATAGATAAAATATTATCAGTGTATTTAATAAAAAAAAAAAAAAAAAAAAAAAAAAAATAGAGATCTCTACGAAAATTGGAGTAATTTTGTTTTTAGATATTTTTGGTATACGAATAGTCTATTCCGGATTATTGCGTTTCGGATTTGTGTAGATCTTCTATACTGTCCAACAATAAAATTACTAGGTCGGTCGGTAAATAACAATTCGAAAACGGTCAACTTTTCAAAAACGACCCGTTATGTTTTTTTGAACCTGCAAACGAACGATTTCCAGAGCATGTTTTTTTTTTTTTAAATATATCACAATATAGATTCGTTTCTGTATATTATTTAATAGTTATTAGATTTAAACACATAATATACAGAATCTATGTAAACAGATAGACACTATTATAGATGGTAAATTACTTCTTGTTAATCTAACAAATGTTTATATCACCGTCATCTATCGCACGGGTAAATTAAAATAACGAAGCGTTTTCGACGCTGCATTGTTTTCGCAAGTGGATGACAATTTCGATACCTAATGTTAGCCGTTCCATTTTACACATTTTACTATACTACCCCCGGTTTCTAATAGCTATATTTAGACCTAGATTCGATCAAATCCCACTATTTCTCGCTCGGTTATCTGCTCCTTGCTGGACTTGCTGCTTCCGTTAATTTCCTCGGTAGGTGTTTTTCCCAACACGTACTATAAGCCAACGCCGATGCGGTCGTGGGCCCCGGGATCGTGTCTTATTATTCGCGATATTAATGATAGCGCTTTTATCGTCAAACACTCTCCTTGTTGGTTCACCATACACATATTTCAATGATACTGAATTTTATGAACTGCATACGATTGTATGAAGTATTTAAATCTAATGCCATTCGATTATTGTAATATTACATTTTTAAACCGGACAAAATTACTAAAAAACTGAACACACTGCGCATTGTATGTGTATACCGTTGTTGTACGTGTGACGTTGGAAACGTATACAAGATAATGCATAATAATATAATGTGATAACCTTATAAGGAAGGTTATAATTCAGTTAGCACACTGAAAACAACGATAAGTCATCGCAATCGAAAAACGGTTGTGAGTGGAGCTGTGTAAATTGTCAAAGTTATAAGAATAATTATGTTTTTCCGTTTTATAGCCAAGGTAATACGCAGGAATTAAGAAAATGAAACCAAAATATTATGCATCGCATTTTAGTTTCGTTATTAAACAACGTCGCATCTTTTAAGGTACAATATGTGAACAACTTCGAACATTTTTAAGTTGTGTTTAGTCGAGCGTTTTTCCGTCAAAAAAACCGCTTTTGGTAAAACCAATAACTTCCATTTTATTAGATACAACTGAAATGTAACGAAGAATCTGTTCGTTTTACTAAGAAGTGTGTTTTTCGCCCAGATCGTACATTATTTGAACAACAATGACGAGATTATCAACGGTATTTCAATATAATTTAAAAAACTGACATCAAAGACTATACCGGTTTTATTTTTGTTGATTGTTTAGTAATCTCGGCCATATATTAGGAGAGCCTGTAAGACACAGGATTAATACCGACTATGCTCGGATCAGAATCGTTTTTCGTTTACAATAATTTGACGTTGCTTTTTGAACCCAAATCGAACTATCCCGCGCCTTTCAAATTTCCCATCACCTCGACTATAGTGCGGAGTACGGTCGGCTCTTATGTTATTATATGCCTATACTATACGTATATGCACGTACCTTGGTGATATTTTACAGTTACCAAAAATAATTAATAATAATAAGTTTCTATTAGACAGAATCACATAATAATAATATCGCTTTAATGAGCCACTATAATATACGATATTTTTGTATACAATGTGCAACTATAGTCATTGAATTTCCTAAACGAAAATGAATAATTTTTCTTATAGAAACTCGAGTTTACAATGCACCCATATAACAAAATAAGTACCTACATAAATTACCTATTGTATGCAAAACGGGTTTATTTCTAAATAAACAATATAATTATTTTATAATATTACACATACAGGGTGTACATGCGGGATTTGACGATTTCCTAAGCAATTATACGTAGGACATTGTCGGACCCTGCAGATACACTCTTGTGTATCGAATATTTAAATTCAATGTGAAAACCATAGCAATTGCGTTATCTATACATACCTGATAATTTACGTTTTATCTTTTGTACAACAACGCTTTAAAGTTATTATTTTATAATATAATACAACTAAAAAAAAAAAAAAAAAATAATACAATAAACGGGTAAAAGTGTGAATAAGTCGTTGCACAACAATAGCAGAATATACGAGGTATAGTGTATAGATGTTCAAGCTATAATACACACCGAAATAAACGGAAATGGAGTTTGGGTGACCGCCGAAAGTAATATACAGGGTGATTCTTTTACCAGCGAATATTTCGGGTACCTAGGCGTAAATTCGTTTCTGGTATTTTTCAGCGATTCCATTTGCGATATTTTCGAAATGTCACACTCGTTATTACCATATCACGTCCACGAATCATCTTTTGATTTTTGGACGGCAATAGACTTTTTATTAATTCACATTTCGAAACGGGGAAACGCTACAAATGTCGACGTTAAACGGTACGTAAGTATAATATGTTATAGGTATCCGATATCAATAATAAAATAATATAGAAAAAGTGCCGCACCTACAATTTTTCAACGTAGCGGGGTCTAAACATAGGATAACGTAAAATAATACAAGCAAAATATGTTGTTGAAATCTATTACATAAATCGTAACATATTTTTCCGGATGTTATTCGGCAAAATACATAATTGTTTAGTACGATATTATTTGTGCTTATAGTCGAGTTGGTAGTACAAACGTATAACGATTGATGCGTGCTTTCAATGCTGAATAGAGTTAGGGGAGATTAAAGCCCGTTCTGCGAACCTCCTGGGTATGGGGAACCGCAAAAGTTAGATTTTGTTACGCGTTTCAAAATATTTACACAAATATTCTCTTTTCGAATGTGTATGGTTCTACATTTAAAATACCAATCGTTGATATTCGTTTATCGTGTATGCGCACGGAATAAGGGTTAAATTTTGAAAATATCATGATATCAGATAATATAAAACTGGATGTATAATAATATGATCATCTAGTCACTAGATGATCATAAACTGATATGAACTTATCACAAGGCATCAAACACCAAATTGTTCAACATTTGAATGAGCTTAAAACGGCTTTTGAAAAATACTTCCCTAAATGTGGAAAAGAAGACCACTGGATTATGTTCCCTTTCAGTGAAATTTATTTCAAATCTGCAGTTTTATCAGCCCGTGAAAAAGAAAAATTGATTGAACTGAAAACGGACTCTTCACTTCAAGCAGCATTTCTTGAAAAAAAATCACTTATCACCTTTTGGGCTAATGTGAAATACGAATATCCTGAGCTTTCTTACAAAGCATTCAATGTTTTACTACCGTTTACGAGCTCTGTATTAGTGGAGAGAGCCTTTTCGTCATACACATTTATTAAAAATAAGTGCCGCAATAGACTCTCGGTGAGTTCAGACTTACGAGTTTATTTATCATCCGTGGAGCCAGATTTCAAAAAGTTAAGTGCTAGCAAACAATCTCAAGGATCACGTTGATCAAAATAAATCAAATTTTTCATTATTAAACTTATTTCGTTAATTCATATCTATCTTATGTGAAAATATATGAAAAATCGGCATTTGGGGGTCCGTAAAGTAATAGTGAGTGGTCAAGGGGTGCGTGAATGAAAAAAGGTCGAGAACCGCTGATCTAGTCGATTCTATGATAATGACTGACAAAAAAAAACAAAAAAAACCAAATTTTCGTACATAGGAACTGCAGTGAATCGTCACCGGTTCGTGCAGATATCATAATAACGTAAAAATTACCCTGTATAATAGCGAATAAAAGGTCAATAAATTACATTTGTACAATATATATGGATATACGTACCGCTATAAATAATATAGTGCGAGTTTGTAATGATTCTCGCGCGTGTTGACCGACTGCAAACAGTATACAAAAGTTGTTCTCCCGAACAAATAACATATTCGAGTATATAAACACAGTAAACAAACATTATTGCCGAGATCGATATAATCGTATAATAATAATATGAGCACAGGCACTTGCTATATAGTGGGCGTTCACCAAAGACGCAATTTCACTATTTCAACCGCACTATAGGACCAACGCGTATTCGTCAATAATAAATAATAATAACAATAATAATAGTTGTAAAGCGTAAGCAGAATATTGGACAGAAAAAAAAAGCACTCCACGATCGAGTGCGTGTGTGTGTATGTGTGTGTGTGTAATGTGTATATATATATATAGGTACCTGCGACAATACACAACGACACCGGGACTCGAGAGAAAACGTAAAGTTTACAACTGATCAATTATTATTGTAAATAAATACGGACCGAACATGAAAAAAAATGACATAGAGTGCAGTGAAGCAACGAGCGAAGAAAAAAAAATGCAGTGCGTACCTACTCGAATTACCTACAGCAGCGGTTATTTATTTACCGATTTTCCATTACGTGCGCTCGTATTTCATGCGATGTTTTCTCGGAATCAAACTTTTTATGCGTCCTCCCGCTAGCAATATTGAGTAATAATTTGTATAATTATTTATAATAACAAGGACTCGGATTTAAATGCCCTAGAAATATAAAAAAAAAAAAATGCTCTTTCAATAAATTGAACGGACTAAAAGCGTCCTCACGCGCATCGCCGATATAATATTATCGTTTTATAAGAAAATTCTCCGATAAAAGTTGTCTTGTCTAATTTAAAACCAGATTACCTGATTTTATGTTAATGTTCCAGATAAAAATGATTTTATATTACATAGTACTATGTTTATATTTCGTTAAATCAACTTTTTTAGATATAATACAAGAAATACGTTTAAAATGTTTTAAAATGCGTCAAAAATGTCCCAACAATTTTTTATAGTTACAACATGAAGTACTTGAAATACAATTGTAGCTTGGAAAGCACCGTATAAGACATTCCAAAAAAAATTATGTAAATGCAATGGAAATCTGAGCCCTAATAATAACAATGTGTCATTTTGTTACGTTCGCGCGTAATTGCAGGACGATCAAAACGATTTTTGTTTTCTTTTACAAATAGTTTAGGTTAAGTCAAAAAAAAAAATAAATAAAAAAATATATAACAAAAATAATATTTAACTTAATAAACTAAGTTTAAATCAATTTCAAAATAAGAATTGATTTGTACACCGCCCGGAAACCTCGAAAAAGCGACTTTCAAAACAAACTGTGTAGAATTTGGGGAGGCAGGTACTAATTAAAATGTTGTTGCTAAAAATCTGTAAAAATGATATAACAATCGCTGAAATGTGAAATTATCAGCGTAACGGATCTAAATTTAGTAAAATAATAAAAACAAATTTGTTTAACCGTTCGAAACAGTATTCTTGACCGGTGAAAATATCCCCTTGGAAAAATTTCGTCGTCGCCCGTCCATCTTATCAGAAATCAATATAACTAATGTCAATATTCAGCAAATAATTAACCAGAATAGCAAGTCGTTATTTTCACGTTGACGATACAAACATGGAAGGTGGGCGAATTCACACATAGTCCACCCGCTTTAACCCTGTAGAACGGTGATTTCCAACCTCTTTTAATCTTTCAATGTTCGTAGATTTTCAAAAATCCCACGCACCCCTCCCCTCTATAAATTGAAAAAAACGATGAAATTTTCTTCAGTATACTTTATAAATAAACTGTTATACAATATTCGTAATGTCTGTTTTTTTTTTTTTTTTTTTTTTTATCGATGATTATAATTATAAATTAATAATGTTAATGAAATTATGTGATAATGGTAATGTGTTCAAATTGGGAAAAACTGCTGTAGAAGGTCAAAAGTGATATCGTACCGTGCCTTGTAATTAGCAAGTAAAGTAAAATTAACGAGCAATTAGAAATAATAATAAAAAAAAAAAAATGTGCGAATCTACCCTTAGACCTAACCGATACGACCTTTTTTTAGTGTTACTGTTTCAGATTCCGAACTGTGTGGTCAGCTGTACAAGTATTAGTGTTCTCGACAAAGTACACACAGTGGTGTTTCGGTTAAAACATATTTTCGTAGTTTTTCGGTGTATATTCCATTATGAGAATTTCGCGTAGCATATACCAGTAATTCGTATCGTAATATTATGCCGTAGTATTCAACTCGAGAATAAATGGAGCTTTATTAGTCGTTTTTCATGACGAGTAGTTGAATTTAAAATTTATAAAAAAAAAAAAATAAAAAATATTTTACGCAAGACGCAACTCTTTATATTTTTGTAATATAAAAATTAAACTTCGCTCACAAGTCACAACGCTCACGACTGTATAATATTTTAAATTAAACGAATTAGCGTATACATTTAAATTAAAAAAACCCCGCACGTTCATTTTTTCCATTTTTTTTCTTTTATAACTTTTATCATCGTTATAACCCTTTTTTCAAAAATCGTTGTACGAGCACAAATGTAAAACTTATTCAACAAAATAATGTCTTTCACGTCACTCCGGAGGCAATTATTGTTTTATGAACGAAAAAAGAACAGTATAATTTAAAAAAAAAAGAAGTTCTAGGATAATGAGGACGGGTGCAGCCACTGTTATAAATAATTTAATGAATACCGGTAAGCAACATTGCTTACGAAAAAACGATTCTGAACGGAATTCAGTTGATAGTAATACTATGTCAACAATATACATATGCCATATTATAGTAAAATATTTAAATAGGCATTATATATTTTTTATAATAATATTTGTCAAATATTGTACCGATTTTCCCGTTTTTCCTAGGTTATCCCGGTTTTTCTACGTTTATCCCGATTTTCCCATGTTTTATTCCGGTTTTTCACATTTTCTGGAAAAACTCTTGGGAAAATCGAAAAATAACCTCTTTAAACTACCTTCCTAGTAAAATTTCTTTTCAGAAACATTGCTGTTATTAAAAGATAGATTGAAATTGCTGGTAGAAACGTTGTTCACAGAAAAAAAAATCGTAATATTATATTTATTATAATTCGGTAATTTTCCCGTTTTTTTCGCTGTTTCTTCGCTCCTCTAAGAATCTAAAATTACTTAAAAAAAAAAAAAACGATTATAGATTATAGTTATATGAATTTAATTTTTCTTTTCCTCTCAAGTTTAAGTACAATACAGTTAGCGTGTTCAGAATTAAATGGACGGGACGGGGGGGTGGGTGGGGGCGTAAATCATAAAGTAACGCGCTCGATGCCGCCGAAACATTCCAGATGGCGATGGCGGAAGCCTATAATTAAGTAGCAGTATAATTAAGCGATAGCAATTAAATATACCGATAAAACTTTTCCGGTTTCCGAAATAATATAACGTATATAATATACGTTACGCTCGTGTTCTGACTGTGAGAAATTGCAGCATGTGTGGTTATATCGTATTATATACAGCTAAATCGGTACACGTTTATTAATCGATCCGATATTAATATCGGATAATTAATATAGCTGACGATATTTTTTTCCGTTTATTTTTAAGTTTTTTTTTTTTTAATATTGTCTCGTCGGCAAATCGAATTGCAATCATAAATCCGGAACATATACCAGAATATACTGTTGTAATTTTATAAATAAATATTATTTTAAATTCTGAGTGTAGCGAAGAAGCCTATGGTCTTACAAAGATGTTTATTATGGTTTTTTTTATCTGTGCGCAACTTTTCTTTTGGAAATCTCGCTCCGATTTTTAAGTGTAGCACCTTTTCTGAAAGGAATTTGGACTGGGGAGGTACTTTGACGATGTAATTTTTTAATTTTCCCCAGGAGTTTTCCCAATAAATGGGGAAAACCGGAAAAAAGTACCGAAATTCCTCCATTATTTTCTAAACACTCAACACTACACTTCCAATCGACAAAAAATTAAATCATTTTCAAAGTTCAGTAAATTTTGGGTTTAGGACCATGGTAAATGCATCATAATGACGTATATAAAAGTAATCTATGAATAGCCTGAAAAATAAGGGTTGTCATTCAAACAAAGTAATTTAATTGCACGCACTGTAAAGGTCAAAAACTAAAAATCATATCAAAGTATGTATTCGGGGTACTTCCCTTCACTTCCCGAAAGTCCCATTTCAATCTAAGGTCATCGGGCTGAATTATTTAGTGGTGCATAAAAGGCGAGACAACTGTTTATGTATATTTATGATAACGGACACAATACAATGAAATAGTCTCTGTTTTCGGGGAAAATTCGATAAAAAAAAACCGTTAACAAATGACGATATATTATAACTATTGGGTATTTTCGATTTCCGAGTTACTTTGGCCACACACCTGGCTGTTGCCTAACAAACTCACAATAACGGCGTACCCATGGAGCGAACTATTTCCGGCTTTTTAGAATATAAAAGTTCCATTATATATATTATATATTTTACAATTATTATTATTGATGACAATACTTTGTGCTGCCGAGCCATATGAAATTAGTTTTGGAAACGGTTTTTCATGGGGGTTAATCAACCCTATACCACAGCAAAGCAGGCAATGCACGAAACAAAACAACTCGGAATTAACTGTTATAAATTA